TGTGGAGTTTGCATGTTCTCCCTGTGTTGGTGTGGGTCTCCTCTGGTTTCCCTCACAGTCCAAACACATGCGCTGTAGGGGAACTGACTAAATTGGCCAAGTGTATGACTGTGAATAAGTGTGTATGGGTGTTTCCCAGTGATGGGTTGCAGCTAGAAGGGCATCCGCTGTGTAAAACATATGCTGGATAAGTTGGTGGTTCATTCTGCTGTGGTGACCCCGGATGAATAAAGAGACTAAGTGTAACGGAGGCCAGCTAGTGTGTGCTGTGCAGGTAAACCTCACTCCTCTGACCTCTACAGGAGCTCTAGCGACAGACGCTAGGGGTCATGGTCTTCAGCCTCCTTGGTAGAGCAACCGACTCCCATGCGGAAGGCCACCGGTCCAATACCAGCTCGGAGCGGGTTGGGTGGCGTAGAACCAACGGAGTTCATAAGCTGAATCTTTGTTGTGTATGATTATGATGTGTTTTGTGTGTGTGTGTGACAATGTGGAGCAAAATCTCTGGGTGTATGTTTTTCGGTGGTGCCAGAAGTTATGACGAGTTGATGTGTATCTTATCATAGGATGTGTGTGTGTGTGTGTGTGTGTGTGTGTGTGTGTGTGTGTGTGTGTGTGTGTGTGTGTGTGTGTATCTTAGTTGTGTATGTTTATGATGTCGTGAGTGTGTTTATATAATGTGTGTACGTAATGCGTGTGTGTATGTGTGTAGATGTGTTTGTATGTATCTCTGTGTATGTTGTGTTAGTTTATGATGTGCCGGGTGTGTGTTTATATGATCTGTGTACAGTATGTCTATGTGTGTGTATGTATGTATGTACGTATCGTGCGTGCGTGCGTGTGTGTTTCTCTCTTATCTCCAGCAGGTGTCAGTGAACTCTCTCATATCCTCCCTCAGTCAGTGTTCAGCTCAGTGTTCAGCTGTGCTGTCAGTGAAACTCGTCTGTCTCGGTGTGTCATCTTATGATCAGACTTATTGAATATTAATTTCACTTCAGATCTCAGAGTTTGAGTGTTGCGCATGCGCAGAGGCGGCACTGGAAACTCAAACACGTTTCAGAAATCGAGCGATGCCACTTCAGCGCTGCTTCCGGGTTGAGTTTGCGTCACGTGATGCGCATTTAAACATCTGTACGGTCAGAATCATGAGGAAAATGAGAATAAACTGCAAGACAGTGTTTTATTCCTAAAGAAATTAAAGATTAAATGAGCAGAGGCACAGAGGGATTATTCCTATAGAAGATACCAATATAATAAAATAATATTGTAAATATGGAATACATTTTTCATTCCAATTTATTCTAAAAGTGTTTACTTATAGAGAGCATAGAGAGCAAGTTATTATTATTATTATTATTATTATTATTATTATTATTATTATTATTATTATTATTATCATTATTATCATTATCATTATTATTATTGTTATTATTATTATTATTATTATTATTATTGTTGTTGTTGTTATTGTTGTTGTTGTTATTATTATTATTAATATTGGGATTTTTCTAAATATTATTATTATTATAAATATTATTGTTCTAAATATTATTATTATACTAAATATTATTGTTATTGTTGTTTTTGTTATTATTAGTGTTGTTAATATAATGTTATTATTATTGTTGTTGTTGTTGTTATTAATAATAATAATAATAATAATAATAATAATAATAATAATATTGTGATTATTATAAACATAATTATTATTATTATTGTTATTAATAATATTATTATTACTGGTATTATATTAATATTATAATTACTATTATTATTATTATTATTATTATCAATATTATTATTATTAACATTATTATTATTAACATTATTATTATTATTATTATTATTATTATTTATTCTTTCATTCATTCATTCATTCATTCATTTATTTTCTTTTTGGCTTAGTCCCTTTATTAATCTGGGGTCACCACTGCGAAATTATTATTATTATTGTTATTATTATTATTTATGTTGTTGTTTTTGTTATTATTATTATAATTATAATTATTATTATTATTATTATTATTATTATTTATTATTATTACTATTAAATTATTATAAATTATAATATAAATTATTTTTATTGTTGTTAGTATTGTTTTTGATAATAATAATATTATTATTGTTATTATTATTATTATTGTTATTATTATTATTATTATTATTATTATTATTATTAATACTATTATTATTATTGTTGTTATTATTGTTATTGTTAATATTATCATTATTATTAATATTCTTGTTGTTGTTGTTGTTATTGTTAATAATAATATTATTGTTATTATTAATATTAATAATATTATTATTATTATCATTGTTGTTGTTGTTAATATTAATATGAAGGGAACAGTATTATTAGTAGAGTTCAACAGTTTTATTGAGGTAGGAGCAAACGAAAGTCTATTGGTTTTACACATTGGCATTCTCAGTCTTTTTCCTGATGCTAGCAGCTGATATCCCCTGAAAAGAGGATGTTTGCAATCAGCACTACATATTG